AATGGCTTTTGTGGCATGTGTCATGAAACATTTAGCGCGTATGCCAGTCTTCAGAAGGAGAAAAGGCAGTGCACCACAGTGGTCTAGGTGGAAACTTTAAACTGTGAGAAAATTGTCCAAAACTTACTGACTAACAAGAACAAGGTCCACTGTTTCAATGTCTGGAATAGCATCTATAAACGGCAAACTCTCTTTGTTATGCAGGCCTGGGTGTATTCCACAGTCAAGCTAAAAATAAAAGTACATAATAGGACTTACAATGATCTTCTTTCCCTTAAAAGTAAGCAAGATACATGATCTGCCGACCTCTTGACCTGCACCACTATATTAACATGGTAACTCGCAGCAGTAAGCAATCTTACAGAGGCATGATCGATAATCTGTCGCTGTCATCATAGGATATATCCCGTTCCATTCCGTAAGAGATCTAAATTACTTCAAGGATGATTTTGTAGGGATTTCCTCAAGCCGGAGAAAATTCAATAACACACAGGCTCAGTACAACAGAGCAGACGGAACCTACAGCAACGGTTAACAATCATATCGGCGACATTTACAAATATTTAAAGACGCAGGCTTTAAGAAATCAAACCAATACAAGGTAGTGCAACCAAAACACCACTAACTGTATATAAAGCTAAAGAGTATAACAACATACAAAAACGTGCACACGTACGAAAGAACACGAACACAAAGTCGCACAAACAATAGTTCAGACGAAAGCAAAATCAGTCATAAGAACTCTGTGGAGAAATATATACATATAGCTTCTGTTTTATATTACAGATATACGCCGCATCTGCCGTAATCAATCCTCCCTCACTCAAATTTTTCCGGTGTCAAGAGAGCCAGGAATATCAAAGAACAAATATTTCAATCACTGGGAACGCTTTATAATCTGCCAAGTAGTATCGTGAAGGCCGATTAAACTTAGTAATGATATTTACTCTGACACTTGATTAAAACATAAAAGCCCTCAAAATTTACCCCAAACCAAACCTCGATTTTAACTCGATGGGATCCTCCAGCAGTTATTCTGACTTCATCTCCTAAACTTAACTATTAACCAAAAGTTTTACGTTCATCGCAACCCTAGTCCTAAGGTGACTATGCCTTTAATTTATCTCGAAAACTACTACATTGAAGGTTAGACAAAACACATTTATCTAGAATTAATCGGGACGTTAGTTTAGGGTATCAGGGGAAAGTTAAAGCCGAGCTTAAGAATTATTATGAGCACTTGGGTTGCTGCTGGCGGAAATCACGAGGCCCTCCTTGCCTAGGTTATAAAATTTATTTATTAATAAGGTAGTAAGCTAAATGTGGGACGAAAGTCTTTTGTTTCGCGTTAAAAGTGCTCTCAGATTTAAGTTCCCTTGCGGCGTAAGGTGTTTCTAAATCAGCCGCAGGGCGAATCACAGCAGACCAGGGTCATTTAAATACGATAAATAGCCATTTTTGGACAATCACGAATAGGAAAGGTAAAAATACAGTGTCATAGGGCGAGCTCAGCGTACAAGGTGGACTAGTAACGCCATTGCTCGAAGGGGCCTGATATTGAGCCCACGATTATTACTGAAATATACAAAATAATGAATACCAACAAATATAAGGTAGACTGTAATGACAATTTCTGTCTTATTAGACGTAATCGGCATGCCATACATAACCACGGAGTTTTTAATTCCCAAAGTTTGAGTGCGCGTTCTGTTTGTTAGAAGACCAACACTCCAACCAGTGGGTCAGGAAGTTGTCATACTGTCGTTGACGATCTGAACAATTAACTATGAAAAGCGGTGAAGAGTTAACCCGGGTGATTATGGAAAACAAACCGCTGATTGATTCTTCAAGAAAATTTTTTAAAATAGCAGTAGAATAATGCTAAATTTATGGAAGTTATTATATGCATTATAATTCAGTATACATAAGGGAGATAGGCAGAATTTTTGAAAATCCTATTCACAGAGAGTTGCTGTTAGAGCATGCATGCGTTTCAAAGCCATATGGGTACATTATATAAATCGTTTTTGTCTATCAAATGTATGACCAGCTAGTAAAGTAAGGTCGAGTCTTCTACTAAATGCGTCAACGCTTTCAGCAAGAACAACTGAGGAAGGAAGTTTATTCCAGTCTACAATGACTTGGTTGGAGAAGAAGTTGGCCCGCACTTCTAGTTTGGCATGGTGTTTCTTCAGTTGGAATGGTGACCTCGGAGATGCGTCGTTTGTGCGAATTCGAAGATAACGGCCATCTGAAGAGCACAATCTACTCCCCTGACGAGTTTGAACACCATGATCATAAACATGCGCTTCGGTACTGAAAGGCTACCACAACCTATTATTTTTCAAGGTTGCCCTATGACTGAATGTCTCAGCGTCAAAGACCTAGGTTTAAGCTACTCAAATGAATAAGATATTTCGTCTCATGCCGATAGCATTACGGCCAAAGTTGCACAGATGTGCGGCTATATTTCTTATATTTTTTACCTTCCTGAAATGAAATTAAAACCATATCGCATGTTTGTGCCTCCCATTTCAGAATACTGTTGCCCTTAAAAAATCCGCATTTATTATTCCACCTCCTGCATCCTCCTCATCAAAACGCTCTTTATTCTTTGCTTCCAGATATAGCTTTCTATAGAATAACTTGTCAAATTAAATGAGGTCGTTAACTACTCTAACTGCTTTCAAGTGAAGGACCGCACGTTCATCTTAACACTGATTCTGTTGGCCTTTAATTCTCCTCATCTTCTCCGAGCAGCTCTCTCCATGACAACGAGGTAGGACCATCGGGAATTTAGGAGATCCCCTTGAAACTATTTTTCTCTGCCCCGTGACCCCCGGGAGCCTGGATGTCTCCATAAACCACCGGTCATTCAAACGATGGAAGTCGTATGGACGTGTTCAGTCTAAAATGCTCCCATTTCGTTGGCTATTAACCATCAGCAGAATTCCATTTTGACCCCTGGGATGTCGGGGCCCTACGAAAACTGACGCTCCTTCGCCTGACTGCATGTCATGCATATGAGCGACCACGAGCGTATTATACATACATTTCATCATCCCACTCTGCATGGCTATTGCAGTATTAGCCTACTATACACCTATATCCTATTTTCCTAAACAACATTTTTCTCCTACACACTTTTTGAAAGTGGAAGCAGAGTTCAACGTGCCTCCATTTTCAAAAAGCGGGGGTTTTTTTAGCTGCCTATTTTCTACTTCACCAGTAATTGTAAAACACCGCCAAATATTGCCCTTAAAGGCAAATTTGTGCTGGAATTATTAACAATTTGTACATTTTATCTGCGCACATCGCCATAATTTTTTACGAAACTCAGTCTGTATAGATAGTGCCTTCAAGGCGCTAGCACATACAAATTCCAAACATCTCCTCAGTATTGTCTATAATAGAAAGGAATAAAACTGAGCTTATCAAGACGACCTTCATATGATAGACCTCCTACGCTGCTGACTAATTTGATCGCCCTTGTTTGAAATCTTTCCAGCACTGCGTAATCTTTCTTCATTCAAAAGCACCACGCCTGGACGCAATATTCCGACATCGGCCGAACAAATGTTCCGAAGGAAGCACCGCTGCCTATGTGGTTGTTTCACAGAGAGCAGCATTTATCAACTTTGTATTCATTTTTTCCACAGCACTAAGTTTGCAATGACGAGGCCCTCCGGGCCTAAAATATAAAATTTATTTATTTTGCTATCAGACAACCTTATACCCAAAAACATCGGGCAGTAATCTAGGAAAGTTAAAACATACATGTTATAAAGTAG